TGTTCCAAATAGCTTGACATTTTGCAAATGTAGATGCTAAAATACTAAAATCCTAATATTGTTATACTATTCAAGTATTCCGAATATAGTATTTGGAATACTTTCGAAGGTATTCTGAATACTGCATAAAATACTTTTAGGAAAAGTATTTTCAATAGTATTCCGAATACTACCCAAGACTGATTATTAATTATTATTATCCGTTTTAAGTACTTATGTTATAATTTCACATTTTAATTGTTATTGTACAATTATTGTGATAAAGTAAAATATATAAGTAATATTATTTTTTGAATAACAACTAATTAATACCTATTATAAAAAGTACATATTTTCATATTATATTGCTTATTGTATTTGCCAATAGATTTAATGAACTAATGGAGATTTGAAATATTTGCAWTTGTGCAAATATGCATAATATACTTTTTTAGGTGTAAGTACGTAAATATAATGTGGCTAATATAWAATATATTAACGATGATATGTATTAATAGTTATAATTAATAAAAGTGTTATACGTATAATATTTATATATAATACTAAATTAACCGTGAACGTTTGATTTGAAAAAAATATATCTGTTAGAATGAAAATATATTAAAATACCATTAGAAATGAAGTAGGCTAGTAGGTATATCGTATCCGTGCGATACCTAACCTATCCGTAGGTCACACGTATTCGTGTGATTATAAATGTGTAGGTACCTACATATTATTTTTATATTAGGTATGTGACATATTTTCAATTATTATGGTGTTCTCGTGGAAATCCTTTAACCATCCATATACACCATACAYTCTGAATATTAATTTTAAAAAATCATGAGTATATTAGGTAACTCTCAATTTTCAATGTTTGTGAGAAAAAAATAGTCAATGATTTCGTAGAGRAGGATTCATGTTATATAGGATACCAAATAATACTAGAAATTAGTAAATTAGTAAATAAAAATTAATKAAAATGAAAGTGTGTTTTTTAACATCAACACAGCTCCTAATAMATGATACCTTGGTATAGTTAGTCTAACAATTACCAACTACCAAGGTCATAGTTTGGAACTATTAATATTAGTAATGGCACATCATATGGAAAACCTATTATTTTAGCACCCTAAACTTTATTTTGAAATTATTAGAATTGTTGTGAGTAGCTAAGTGTATTTTTAAGGCATTTAAAAATCTTTTTTATGAATTATTAAGTATAAATATTAGTATAGAATATAGATAGATATGATCAGTGTTTTTTAAGTACATAGGTAGTGCCAAGTATTAAATTAACATAAATATATATAGTGAATACATAAAATTTACCGTAACAACTATAATAACCTGGTATAGTTGGTAAAATTCAAAGTCAAACATTTTCTACTATTGATGAACACAGAATTAATACCTAATTAATGTTAAATATTTTAATTTACCACCACAAATACTAACTTTAAAATGTATACACCTATCAAAATATCTTAAGCTAATTATAATTAGAAATAGAATCTTGTAATTTGTAATTCATAAACTGACTTGTAATACCATGTGATAGGTATGCTAATACACTTTTTGTCTTAATAAATAATAATAATAAAAAAATGTTTAATATTTTAATTTTAATTGTATTGGATAAGCATATTTTATACTTTTGATTTTAAACAATTCAAGAATATTAAAAATTTCTCATTTTTAATTCCAATAAGTATTGATAAAAATATGTGTTCTGCATGTAAAAAAAAATGTCATACAAGCTTCCTCATGGTATATTAGTTCATTGTTGGTTTAAGTACACAAAAGCAATTTTGCAATTTTAAAAATATTTAAACTTATTTTTAGTTTTTATTCAATAGTACTTTCGTT